TTTTTTTGTCAGTAAAAGAGCTTCTCATAGCCATAGCTGTCACCAAGTGGACAATGTGCAGCTATATCAGCAACCTCTGAAATAATTTAAGACAAGTAGTTCAGAAAACAGAATCTTATCTGAATTGGTCCTGGACAAAGTCATGGACAGAGAGAGCCTTGTACCAGACTATTTATATTGCAAATGAAATTCACTACTGAGCAAAAAACCTTGAAGAGACTAGACTCTTGTTTCTGTTCCCCACTTACACGTTTTTGAGCATACATGAGATTTAATGCCACAAGTCATTGTTCTTATGCGACCCCCAAATTATCCCCCTTTTTGTCCCCAGAGGAGCATCACATAAAGGCAATTCATGATGCCATGGCAGAATTTGAAACACTGACTTGTATTAATTTTGTGAAGCGCAAGACAGAACGTGACTATCTCAACATTAGATCTGCTGATGGGTGAGTTGAATAAGTAAATGTGTTTTTTCTATATTGGTTTTCATGACTTCACTACTCTCATCTTGTGTGATCCTAGAGAGGAGAGAGAAGTGGATTTAGACAAGTAACTTTATGCTTTATCAGGGTGCAAAGCATCCTGCTGGGGATCAAACAGTTACATTAGGGACTCACCAAAGGAACTGAAGTGACTCACAGCTCATGGGAAACCAGCAGTAAGGCAGAAAGAATATCCTTAGCTCATGCTTGCTGTGCAGTATAATTCACATTTAGCACAACATATAACAGCCTATTGTGGTTTTAATTTGCACAGGAGGCATCAATTTCAACTTAGGATGAGCAGTTCTCTGAATCAGGCATAGCTTTAGATGTCAAGGTCAGAATTAGAGCTTTTGATAGACTTTGCTTAGTTTAAAAGTGCCATTCAGGTTAGTTCTATAAATGATAGCAGATTCAGTAATTTGAGAAAAATGTTTAGTTTTAAGGAGTTAACATCACTGTGTACCGAAGGCTAGCATGAAGGAATCTCCATGCTATCGAAGGATTTCTAAGGAGACTTAGTGATGTGCATTATGTTTGTTGATTTTCTACATCATAGTCAGTTTTGCCCTTCTGTGGACTGTGATCACTACAGACTACAAACAAAAATCCATGTGTCTTTTCTCATTGATGTTCTATGTCTTTCCCAGTTGCTGGTCCAACTATGGAAAAGTAGGAGGTGGACAGACTGTCTCTGTGATGAAAGGAGGCTGCATGTGGAAAGGAATAATTCAACATGAGCTGGACCATGCCCTGGGTTTTTTGCATGAGCATTCTCGAAGTGACAGGGATAAATATGTAAAGATCATGTGGGAGTACATCAGCATGGGTAAGTACCTTTGAACCTCCTCAATGTATAGGACGTATCTACTGTCCTCTATTGTTCCCAGCTGTTCCTTCTTTGAGAGGATGTGGATAAAAATATGCTTTAAATATGATATCATATATTACAGCTGACAGAGCAGACTTCAGGAAATTTGAAAACTCCAATAACCTGGGTCTTCCATATGACTATTCCTCAGTAATGCACTATGGCCCGTAAGTAACATTATGGCAATGCCTCCATGGAATTGAAATCTTGCATTAGAATTAGCTTCCATAATAACTCTATTCTATTAGCTTCCTCATTTCCATGAGAAAAACATTGTGAGTCAGTTCAAACAAGGCATTCCCCAAGATTGCTATATTATTATTTAGCTTTCCATTAAGCTTTCCATTTTCTATTTTAAGTGTTCTGCAAAACTGACCTACCCCTTCCATAATTTCTGCAGATCTTTCCAGGACTTAAAAATCTCTAACTTGTGTGACAACAAGGCTATTACTCCCCCCAAATTTTTCAGCATAGGTAGGGCTTGGAGGGTTAAAGAAAAGCTGTCTTTAATAAATTCTCAAGAATGATAGCAGACAAACATGACTGAAGAACTGTATCATAAACTTAGCACTGCAAACACCATGGTT